TCATTAAAAACAGGAACCAGCCTTGATATGACCCCACATGTCTCCATATTCTTATACCATCGGCTTCAGGAGTAAAAGTTGAAGTTCGGTCTAGAATTATATAGTTACATAATTATTTGCATTCCTTTAGCGCCATCTAGATTTAAAACAACCAGAATGTATAAAACATATGTCCAGTACTTTCTTCTAAACCTGGGCCAACTTCTTTGTTCAACACAGTATCTTTGTTTTTGTTTTGTGTTTTCAATTTCCATTATTTTTCTAATATCCAATTCAAATTTCAACTCTACAAAAACATAATAAGTTAAAAATGTCATCATGTACAAAGTTAAAGGGAAAGAGTTAGGTTGATAACATGAGGATTTGTTTGCCATATGTTCAAGGTTTATCAACAATAATAGGCAACATGATAAAAAAATATATAGAATGTAATGTTACTTTCTCTACTCGTTGTAAACTAAATAATTTTCTCACGGATATAAAAGATACAATAGAAAGAGTTGATAAATGTTGAAAATTCCATATGTCTGTGGTTGAGTTTACATTCGCCTAACGTACAGACATTTGAAGTTTAGAATAAAGGAACAGGAACATGCGGTAGAAAAGTATAAAGTAAGAGAGTCGGCCTTAGCAGAACATGTGGCAGGCACATCTCATGTTATAGACTGGAGTAACGTTAAACTGATAAATCATGTAGACTTTAAATTTGAGTTACATATCAGAAAAAGCTATAGAAAAATGGGGAAAAAAACACAAAGGTAGTGTATTGATTAAAGAAATTGGTCCAGGTTTAGAATAAATAAAGTACTGGACATATGTTTTATACACTCTGGTTGTTTTAAGTCTAGATGACACTAAAGAAATGAAAATGATTATGTAGTTATATAAGTCTACACCGAACTTTAACTTTTACTCCTGAAGATGGTGTCGTAAGAACACAGAGAACTTGTAGGGTCTTTTTAGGGCTGGTCCCTGGTTTTAATGAATTATTTATTGTTTGATTATTTTTGCTTTGTACTCCATTTAATTGTATATAAATATAGCACAAATGCTGTTTTGAATAATGTATATTTCTGAAGTTTTGTATTGATATAAAACTGGCTGTTCGCTTTAATATCTCAGCTATAGAAATAAAGACGACTTAACGAAGACAGTTATCTGTTTTTCTGCTGATATAAAACTGACTGTTTGATTCAGTATCTCAGCTATAGAAATTAAAAAGGCTTAACGAAGACAAAGTTATCTGTTTTTTGCTGATATGAAACTAAGTGTTTCATTTAGTGTATCAACTTGAGAAACAAAAAAGACTTGACGGAGAAGTTTGTACTCATATATAACTGATTTAATATCTCAGCCTTAGAAACAGAAAAGACTTGACGAAGCTAAAGTTATATGATATTTTTGTTTTGATATAAAAGTGCTTATTTCATATCTGAACTTAGAAAAGAAACAGAAAAGACTTAAAGACAATTTAATATAGAGAATATAATTGAGAAACAGAAAAGACTTCATGACGCTGTGCTTTATATGAGGTTTTTCTGCTGATATAAAACTGATCTAATATCTCAGCTTGAGAGACAAAGAAGACTTGACGAAGATGAAGTTATCTGAAATTTTAATGGAGATATAAAACTAATTGTTTGATTGAGCATCTCAGCTTTAGAAATAAAGAAGTCCTGACGAAGGTTAAGTTATCTTATGTTTTTCTTCTGATATAAAACTGGCTGTTTGATTTAATATCCCAACTTCAAAAACAGAGAAAATATAGCCGAATAGTAGTTATCTGGTATTATTCTGCCGATAAAAAAGTTATATTATATGTTTGTGCTGATATAACACTGCTTGATTTAATATCTCAACTTGAAAAAAGTTTTGACGAAGTTATCTGAGATTTTTATGCTGACACAAAACTGTTACATTTAATAGTTAAGCTTCAGAAACAGAGAATACTTGGATAAGGTAAAGCTTACTGGTATTTGTCTTCTGATATAAAACTGTTTCACTTAATACTTCATCTTGAAAAGCAGTGACAACTTGAGAAAGGTAAATTTTCTGAAAGTTTTCGTGCTGATATAAAACTCTAGGTTTAATAGTTCAGCTTGAGAAACAGGGAAGACTTAGTGAAGATAGCATTTTTTACTGGTGTAAAACGAATCTTATATATCAGCATGAGAAATAGAGAAGATTGATGAAGATCAAGTTATTTGATGCTTTTATGCTGATATGAAATTCACTGTTTCATTTAATATCTCAACTTTAGAAACAAAGAAGACCTAAAAAAGGTGAAGTTATCTGTTTTTTGTGTTGATATGAAATTGACTGTTTGGTTTTAATATATCAGCTTGAGAAACAGATAAGAATTGACGGAAAAATTACATAGTATTTTTATACCGATGTATAACTAATTTAAAATCTCGGCTTTAGAAAAATAGAATACTTCACGAAGATGAAGCTATTTGGTATTTTTGGGCCATTATAAAACTTCTTCATTTAATTCCTCAGCTTGAGAAACAGAAAATACTGAATGTTATATAATATGTTTGTGCTGACAAAAACTACTACTTTTATTATTTCAGTTTCAGAAACTGAAACGTCTTGATGAAGATGAAGTTAACTGATGTTTTTATGCTGATATAAACTGAATGATTTATTTAATATCTCAACTTAAAAATGAGAGAAACATGACGGAGAAGAAGTTATATGGTATTTTTATGCCGATATAAAATTGATTTAATATCTCAGCTTTAGAAAGATAGTAGACTTGATGGAGATGAAGTTATAGTATGTGATATTTTTGTGTTAATAGAAACGTCCTTCATTTTATATCTCAGCTTCAAATATAGTAAAGACTTGACGAAAATGAAGTTATATAATATATATGTTCTGATATAAAACTGTTTGATTTAATATCCGAGCTGGACAAAGGGAAAAAATCAATAAAAGTGGAGTTATCGGAGGTATACGCGCTGGCATAAAACTGTTGGATTTAATAGTTCAACTACAGAAACAGAAAAGGCATGGAAAAGGTGAGGCTATCTGATATTTTCCTGCTGATATAAAACTGAAGAAAGAATGAAGACACGATAAAAGTAAAGTTATCTTCAAAGTTGTAGAAGATTCTCGAGTGTAAGAACCAACAATATACGTGTGTACGTAAACGCTTTAATTTATATTGTTACTTAAAACTGAAATTTCTAGAACGCCTATAAATATAACCAACAGGACGCACTGAAAGTTCGCTATAGTCAGTGCACTATAAACTTCGGAAGCTATAACTGTGATTGTCATAACGCTTATCAATCAGAAAACTTCAGATATATTGATCAGGAACGTTTATAAACTTCGAACATTACAAATCATTCAACTTTAGTCGATTTACATTAGACATTAGTACTTTTACGAAAACATTACCTAACGTCATCGGTGAAACTCGACGTGTAATCGGCGTGTGATCAGCGAGAACTACAGGGCTAGCTAGCTCCCTACTATGTGAATTGTACCTATATCAACTCGTAATCAACTCGCTCATCGAGAACCCTCGATAACATATCAAGGAAGTTCCAGACTAGAACTTGTAAGCTTGTGAAACTTTTGTTTATAAATCATTATTTGTAATAACTGTTATTGTAAATTGTATTGTTGTCTGTATATTAAAATGTATTTGTGTTAAAAACGAAAATGGTGTGTATCAATTCTTGTTGGCAAATACCATAAACTGACTATATATCGGCTTTTACTTAACTACTAAATCCAAAGTACAATTTAACGACTAAATTTAAATTTATCAATAAAGTTAATTTCAGACAATTTGAAATTCTAATACATAACAATCACCATTCTCATCGTCTTATTATTTGATTCGATTTACTTCTTTATTAAAGAATCAGTAGAATAAAAACAACTGCTAGACACTTTCCTTTAAAATTTAGTTAGTGTTAAGTTCTTAGTTTTAAGAAAGTTATTGCATCATAAAAGAACACTTGAAACAGTATCTCAATAGTCGTAAAAAGACATATACTTCAATTTGAATGTTGGTTCTCAGTCAGTTTCTTGATTTTAGTTCCCCGTCACACCAAACATTTTCAGCCTTTCAGCCGTGAGGGCGTTGTAGTGTGACGGTCAATCCCACTATTCGTTAGTAAAAAAGTAGCCCGAGAGGTGGCGGTGGGTGGAGTTGACTAACTGCCTTCCCTCTAGTCTATAACTATTAAATTAGTGACTGTCAGCACAAATACCCCTCGTGTAGCTTTGCGAGAAATTGATTTTTGTTCCCCGTCACACCAAACATTTTCGCCCTTTCAGCCGTGAGGGCGTTATAGTGTGACGGTCAATCCCACTATTCGTTGGTAAAATAGTAGCCCAAGAGTTGGCGGTGGGTGGAGTTGACTAGCTGCTTTCCTTCTAGTCTTACACTGCTAAATTAAGGACGGTCAGCACAAATAGCCCTTGTGTAGATTTGCAAGAAATTCAAACCAAACATTTTTTTTGTAACTATATGGCTCCAGTCCTGTTGATTCACTGCATTTGTTTTTTTATATATTATATATTCATTGTTCTTATTTTTTCTTAGTATAAGGTTACACAATGGCTACCTTCACTCTGTTCATCGCGAGGGAATCAACCCCCAAATTGTGGCATTGTAAGTCCGGAGGCTTATCGCTGACCCACCAGGGTTATTCTATAGTCGAGAAAATAATAGCAACCACAAATATTGTGTTAAACAACATAACTGTCAACTAAGTGATCTAAACATCTTAATTTATACAATGGTTCAACATTTCCAGGTTTTATGGTGGTGCATTATGACATTGTATTTCCTCGTTTTCGTCATGCGTAGAAGCCACAGTCGATAGGAAATGGATTGATTCTTGTACCTTGGCTTTTTTTATTCAAGATAGAACACAGGTGAATATGAATTAGATTAATAAATATTATTGAATCTAAAGTATATATTATTTTATTAACGTAAAAATAGCATTTCAGTAGAAATATCTTCTAGCTTTAAAATTAAACGAAAATAATTTTTCCCTAATTTCATTATTCCCAGAAAACAGCATATTTCAATATCGATAAATTCTACTCTCCCGATTAGAGACATCTAATAAAAAAGTACAAATATACTCCGAATTAAATAAAATTAAGAGTTACATATAAAATCGGCTCAAGTCAACATCAAAACCACGGAGCTAAAAGATTTCTCATGAAGTTCTCTTTTCATGTTCACCTCCTACTCGTGTTGAACAGTTTCTAAATGTTATATGGTTAATGAAAATTTTGACGTTGGATGGTATAGATATAAAGAAAAATGTATTCAGCATGAGAAATAGAGAAGACTTGACGAAACTACAGCTTTCTGGTCCTTTTTTTGCTGATATGAAACTGACGTTTTGATTTAATTTTTCATCTTGAGAAACATTAAGCCTATCCGAACTATTCTGTTGAGACATAAAATTACTGCCTGTTGCTGATATATTTGGAGAGATTCCTGTTGAAATGTCGACAGCGTACAAGATAATTCTTTTTTGGATTCCTCTTCTTGTTCCCTCACGGAAGTTGAATATCTTTATTTATCAACTGCAACAGGGTTTGGAAAACATGTCTATAATTTTGTGCTCTCTAATTCCATTGAAGGTGGTTTCCTGTAACCACATAAAAGACGTTACAAGCTACTAAGACAGAGTAACAGAATGAATTTATAATGATTGATCTGCAATGGAAATATTCAAACCAAATATTAATGAGCTGCAAATACGATGAAATGGGGTACACAAAAATCTGGATTAGGTGTTTATGGGTTATAATCAAGTGAAACTAACCAGATAAAATGGAAATATGTTATATTTATCCTCATAATCGATAGAAAAATAAAATTATCTTTAAGAAAACGAAGAAGATAAGCTCAGACAATTTAGAACAAGTAATTTTTGGGATTTTCTATATGTGGGCACTTTTGGAATTAAAATGGTGATTCAATTAGTTATACGTGACTAAACCACTATTATGTGTACTGGCTGGCCCGCCATTAAAAGGACTTTTGTTACAAGTATTTATCCCGGCATGGACCTCCAATATAAGGAAAAACTGTAGGGAAAAATTGAAACTCTCTTTTAAAGAAATCTTCCAAGGCTAAATATCTGTTTTCAAAGCAAACTGAGAATATACGCATACACGTAATTCTAATTTTGAATATCCTCAGCTCTAAGATTTAATTCTTTAAACTAAATACAGAAAAGGATCCCTGATAACAATTATAAACCCTAAAAGTTGGTTGAATACCTGAATTAAAGTTAAGATTAAAAAGTGTCGTTTGTCTCCTTCTCTAAGACTCCATTAGAGAATCATGACATTTTACAAGATTAAATGATCAACATTAACAAGATTAACATCAACAAGATTAACATCAAAATAATGAAACATTATAGCCAAATTCCGCACATATAAAACTTTTATGAACTCTGACCAAAACTTTAATTTCCTAAGAGTCATGAAACGTTGCTCTCTAGTTGAGATATATATATACAAGATGGAATCCTCAATAGCCGCGGCTGTAATGAGATCACAAATCGGTCAAGAGATAGAGCTATGAGATAAAAGTTTATACTTCGAAAAATAACCTCAGAGTCATTCTATATGCCGCAATTTTAAAAATATCACTTCAAACGCCTTGTCTTTTTAATGACTGAAATTTCAGTTTTCTAGCTAATAGGTATACTTGAATAATGTGACAGTATGAACTACTTAAGGTAAGTCTTGTAGTTCTTTTTAAGACCTTTTTTTAATAAGTCATTTTTAGAAAAGGGTGGAGGTTGGGAGTAACATGTAGTAGAACTATTAGGGTGATATTTATTCTACTTTAAGGATTTTTTAGAACTTTTAAGGGTGGAGGATGGTAGGCATTGTTTAGTAGAAATATATATTTTTCAGTGGCTTGATTTTATCTTATTTCTACTTTTAACTTTATTACATCTTTTTAAGGGTAATTGCCTTCCCACAACTGGCTGTAGACAGTGAAAGGCAGTATGAATTGAGACGTTGTGGGTGTAAGCACTCAACTCTGTACCCCTAATGAATTCTCCACGACTGCTGGCTTGTTTCTCATCTGCTTTTCGGATTTTGTCTGATAGATGGGATATCCCCAACGCTTTTGGGTGCTATTACCACAGGCAATCTCCGTTATGACTTTTGATAATGACCGGAAAGTGCGAAGGGTTTTTGTTTCTTTAAATAGAGATTGGAATTTATATATATATACATGTGTGTGTGTGTGTGTAATTGAGGGTCAACAAGTGACATCTAGTTGGTACATCTAGGCCATCTCATCCACTATACTTAAATCTCAAACAAAAATAAAATATGCAAAACCATCCCTTATCATTCATATATTAATGTAGTCTTTCCTATTAACTGCATCTACCGCATCTGAAGGCAGCCCATTCCAAACGCCAACTACCCTGTTAGAAAAATAACGGTGTCTTAGTTGAAGGTGATTCCTTCCTTCCCAAGATTTGTATTTGTGTCCCCTAGTCTTACTATTCTTACTGTTAGTACGAAAAAGATGATGCACCAACACTACTAATTTCAGTCAGAGTCCATTAAATATTCTTTTTTAAGATAAAACAATTTCATTAAATTAAATCCTTCAACCCCAGGTATCATCCTAGTAGTCCTCATCTAAATCTAATCCAACAATTTATTGTCTTTCCTTAGATAAGGAGCCCAAGAATAAACACAATATTTCCAATGAGGCCTAACCAATGACTTGTAAAATAAAATTACAATTTCTTTAGACTTTTATCCTATTATTCTGTAGATACAACTTAAAACTCTATTTGCCCTGCCACCATCAACAATACATAGCTTGGATGGTCTTATAAACAGATCAGTCAGAACATCAAGATTCTTTTCTTCCATAACATTATTTAGGTTATTCCGATCAAGATTATACTCACAATGAAACTATGATATCCCACATGCATCATTTTGACTTTATTATTATTACAAGCCAACTGCCATTTATTCGACCAACTCACCAAATATTCCAAACCCTTTTGTAAAGCAGCAACATTATCCTCACAGTCAGCAACGTCAAAAACTTAAATATTGTCAGTACATTTAAATAATTTATTGTCCACTCCTTCATCTATATCATTGATGTAAATTAAAAAGAGCAAAGGACCTAATTCTGAGCCCTGAAGTACCACACTTGAGACATGAATCCACCTGACTGAACTCCATTCATAACAACCCTCTAATTTCTTCTATACAACCAGTTTGCTATCCAATGAACCAACCTCACCTCACAGCTACAGAAACTACTTTTTTCACAAGCATTTTATATGGCACCTTTCCAAATGCTTTCTGAAAATCCAGATACACCAAATCCACAACCGCACCTTCATGTATATAAGCACTAACCTCTTCAAAACATGTCAACAAATTATTAAGGTAAGATTTTATCCTATGGAAATCACGCTGACATCCAATTTTGTTAAATGACTTTTCAAAGTATTATTTATCAAATTTTCAATAGCTTTTCTCCCCACTGATGTAAGACTAAAAGGTCTATAGTTACTGGGACACCTTTTATCATCTCCCTTGAAAAGAATGGTAACATTAACCAAGTTCCAATCTTTTGATGCCTGCCCACTATTCAAGGGACTTGGAATAAAGTAGCAAGTACCTCACACATCCAATCCTTAACCTCTTTTAAAACCCTTTGGTAAACATTCTGGCCCAGCAACTTTATCCTTTAAACTTTCCAATTTTTTTCTTAACAAGCTCAGAATTAACTTGATCATGTTATCCAATCCTGTTTCAATCTATGATGGTTAAGGGTGAGGGATACTAGTTAAATCTTCACTAGTAGACATTGTAGACAAAGTAGAATTTAATAACCCAGCAATCCCATAATCATGAGATATTAGCATTCCTGTATAATCCCTCAAATGCTCTACTCCTATCCTAACCATAATGTGTTTAAAATCCTTATATTAATATTCTACATTTTCGGTCAACCTCTTTTCATATAGTTTTTGATTTCCTAATTTCCCGATTGACTAACTCTCTTGATCTTCTGTAATCTTCTATTATTGCAATGAATTTCAACTTCTTAAATATATAATGCTTTTCGTTAACTTTATTATTTATACCCTTTGTGAGCTAAAAACCTATATTTTCATTTCAGCCGCCATTTCTTTTTGTAAAGGAATATGCCTATCTTGAATATTTATGAATTATTTTTTCATTTTCCACACTTGCTCAGTATTTCCAGCTATTCTGTTGCCCAATTTACAGCAGATAATTCTTGTCTCATCCTTTCAAAATTTGCTTTGTTGAAATTTAGAACCAAAATCTCATTATTCCTTATCTCCATATGCAGCAAAACATCAAATCTAATTAAGAAATAATCACCTGCACCGAGATGTTCCCTAATCTCTACTCTATCAACTATTTCTATAGAAGAAGTTAACTGAAACATACACGAATTTTGATATCTCCGACAGTTGTGATGCTTTTTTTTACTTCAGACATAAACTTGCCGGTTTGTTGTTTCAGAACGATATTTAAAAGAATTGCTTAAATCCATTAACATTTTTAACAATTATCACAGTGATTACTAAGTCAACAATTAGAATACCATTAGCATCAAATCTTAACTTACTTTCCGAACGCTTCACCTTCTTCTAGAGTGTCAGGTAAAGGCATGTTGTTAGTTTCTGGTAAAAGTAAGATAAGTATTCCGGAAACTACAGATAATCCACCAAATATTCCCAAAGGAACTCCATTATTGGTAGCTTTACTCTGCAGACAAAGGTAGACAACATATACGGATTGTTAATTATTAGAGGATACCATAAACTGTGTTTTGTTTTGTTAACACGAAAATAATAATATTCAATGAATGTAGCTATTGTAGAGGGGCGCATAAATAACGAATGGGGAAAAACACTAAACACTCACGAAATAAAGTAAATCTGTAAACAACGAAATATGAAAGTGAAATAAAATCAATCTGAAAACTAAATTACATTTTATCATATTTGTAACCTGAAACTATGTCAGTCTGGAACAGCATTACACCTATAAAGTTTATAATATGGTGTAAAGTCATTATATAACAACATTACAGCTACCAAATCAATAATCTATAGTAACGTCAGTCTATATTCTAACACATATAGCTATAAAACCTATAATCTCAAATTATGAAATAGTTATTCATGTTGAGACATGTTTTAGAATTCATTAGGTTCAGGCTAAATGACAATAATTCATGTATCACAAATTTTATTTTTTCTAATGCAAATGAGCCTTCTGTGAAACTTAATTTCATCAAATACCACGTCATTTTGTTACAGCTATTTTATCGAATAATTGAAATATATTTCAAAGTTACGTTTACTAAAAAATTAAACAATAAAATAGCAAATATTTTCATTATACATATCCCGAAATTTTCTTCCGAAAGTCATTAACACACAAAACCGTTATGATGCGACTTACCAGTTCTTTAACAAAAGGAGCCACCATTGATCCAACACGAGCGCACATTGAGCTCGACCCAACTCCAACATTTCGCACAACAGTTGGGAATAGTTCAGCAGAGTATACATATACAATACCAAATGAAGCAGAGATGCAAAATTTTCCAAACATAGCCAAAGTAACTGTTAACCATTGGAGGTCTGGTGGTGAAAAGGGAATTGAAAATTAATTATATTTTCAAAAAGTTTATATATATATATAGCTTGTAGGGAAAAGTAATTTGCTGTATAGATTATAGATAAACACACGCGCACACTCGTGCGCGCGCGCACACACACACACACACACACCTTTATATTCTTTCATTTCGAAAATAAAGTTTGAGGTCACTTAGTTTCCAGCTCATTTGGGAGGGCCGTAATTTTGACCTCTCTATGGAGTAATGTCCGTGAAAATACACATATTGTTGCATAACACAATGAAATTGAAGAAAGGGACGTTTCAATCTATTTTATTATTGAATAATATATATTTACTTTTATTTCACTATTTATGTTTTTTCCGTATTTAAGTTTTCGTATGTACTTGATAATGTTATTTAAACACCTCAAACACCATTTCAGAGATTGTTATGAAACTATAATAATATAATTATTGCCCCAAAATAATTGTTTTATTTGTTCAGGGAACAGTAGTATTATCTATGTAGTAAACGTGGTGTTTGGATAAAAACACGAAGAAAATGCAATGTAATTTTACGCTCGTGAAGATTTAATGATAATAATATATTCGAAGTCACGACAAAGAAAGTGGGGAGTTTCAGTAAAAAACAATGACGTATACTGTTTTCTGATAAATCTTTAAACCCAAACAGTCTTATTGCTAGGCGTCTCTTTAATTTATTTTAGACAGACTTCGACTGGTCAGTAATCTGAATTTATTGTTAGGATTCTTGTGGCTGGTCAGCAGTCTTTAATATAGTATTAGGCGTACTGTGATTGATCAGTTATCTAAATTTATTTTTAGAGTTTTTGTGTCTGATTGGTCATCTTTAATTTAGTATTAGGCATTTTGTGATTTTAGAATTTGTCAATTATCTTTAATGATTAAATTGCTGCCAGAAAATCAAAACTTGGCTAACGTCCTTGCATAATTATACAAACCAGTCCTAACTTCTATTGTACATCAGTAATATGAAAAAATAATGTATTTTCGAAGTTTAATTAATTTCATACGATATAAAGACAAAACTTACAATCTGGTATTGGAATGGTAAGCATGCAAGCTAAACCACCAAGCACCATAGTTACTACCAAAGGAATGCGTCGTCCCAAGTGTTTGATAACAAAGATTGAAATGGCGTAAGACGGGAACTCAACTGCTCCAGAGACGAAGAAGTTAATATATGGATCACCTCCTAAATCATTTGTGCTCAAAGACAGGCCATAGTATACGAATGCGATAACGAACCTGCATAATTGAGATGTAAAAAAGTTGAATCACTATATAAAGAGCATAAGAAGTAAAGACTGTTTCTTTAAAAATCAAAAACATTTGAAACTATTCAGATGTAATAGCATCCGTCTTATTGTAGTTATTTGTTATACTTCACGTATACTTCATATTGTTTCCAACAGTAAGCCTAAAGACAAGAAAGCGTTTAAAAGCAAGTATTACGTATCTGCTTGTTTGTTAATTTCCGGTAGAAATTCTTTCCGAGGAACGTCAGCGATACAAGTCCTTTCTTAATTAAAACTAGTTTATTCTTTCTCGATACAACTTTGTAATACACAGAATTTCCACAATCACTCTAAGCTTAACAACCTTTATAACACATGCTATAAATCACAGTGATTCACACACTTAACTTATGGTGCCTATTGTTCGCTTGACTCAGTTATCTCTATCTTCAATCTATCTGCATATCTATCTATCACTGACTTATATACTAAAACAGAGAGCGTCTAGCAAACACTGGGACATTTGCGAGGTTCCCCGATAAGTCATGATCCTTCTAGAAACTACAGCGCGCATGCTCCCATCGTTGCGTGACTTCCGCTGTCGTAACAATACTATATACTCATTAGTTTTTGAGGCGCTATTATATATTATCAAACTTCATAAACAACAACCTTTATGAAGTTGATAATCTTTCATAACGCATTATAAGTGATTTTTGAGAAACTATGATGAATGTGTTCAAGTTAAGAGAACAACTTACCAAGCAAAGAAACTGTTCAAAGTTTTCTTCCTCATGTTAGGTGTCTTTAGCAAGTCAAAGAAAGTAGCGTGACGATTCTTGTTCTCTTCTTCCTTGAAATAAGAAAAAACTGATTCATTATACATAACATTTAATGGCATGAAACAACAAGTCCGGAAGTGCGCGTAACATTTGTCAATTATGTTTTGTTTCTCTTGTTGAATTTAACTCTTTATGTGTACTTCATTTTGAAGATTCACGATAACTAATTTTAAGAGCTGTGTGGTATCTTCACTCTCTCAACATTTCGTTGTGGTAGTATGGCATCATCACCAACCTAACCTGACATCATCACCTAAAAATGTTTCACCAACCTAACCTGACATCATCACCTAAAAATGTTTCACCAACCTAACCTGACATCATCACCTAAAAATGTTTCACCAACCTAACCTGACATCATCACCTAACAATGTTTCGCCAATCTAACCTGACATCATCACCTAATAATTTCACCAACCTAACCCATTGTTAGATGTTGATGTCAGGTTAGGTTGGTGAAATTGTTAGGTGATGATGTCAGGTTAGGTTGGTGAAACATTGTTAGGTGATGATGTCATTTCACAAACCTAACCTAACATCATCACTTAACAATGTTTCACCAACCTAACCTGACATCATCACCTAACAATGTTTCACCAAACTAACCTGACATCATCAACTAACAATTTCACCAACCTAACCTGACATCATCAATTAACAATTTCACCAACCTAACCTGACATCATCACCTAACAATGTTTCACCAACCTGACCAGACATCATCACCTAATAATGTTTCACCAACCTAACCTGACATCATCACCTAACAATTTCACCAACCTAACCTGACATCATCACCTAACAATGTTTCACAAACCTAACCTGACATCATCACCTAACAATGTTTCACCAACCTAACCTGACATCATCACCTAACAACTTCACCAACCTAACCTGACAGGTGGTTAGGGCGCTCGACTCGCAATCTGAGGGTCGCGGGTTCGAATCCTCGTCATACCAAACATGCTCGCCCTTTCAAAGAGGGAAGGCTGTC